AAACCCCGCCCACTGTATATATAACGGTGGTTCGGTGACATAAACGGTTGTCGTAACATTATATTCCATAAACCTTATATCCGTAGTGTAAAAGGTTTCTAGGCGGCGTATCGGGGTAAGTGCAGAAGGATGCAATGAAAATTTTTGATTATTTTAATTTTTATAATTTGAATTTTGGATAATATGACTGAGGAATTTCGGGGAGAAGTTTAAGGCAAGGTTTTTATGCATGAAAATGTTTTTGTTGTTTGTGATACCACCTCTTCTGAGGTTTCTATTGAAATTCTAAGAATACTTCATTTCAAGTACCATTATTTGTGCCACCAATTGTGGAAAAGCAATTGTTTTGCGTAGCACTATCTTCCTCCTTATTTTTTTTACTACTCGTTTAACACTCTTTAATAATCATTGGTAGAAAATTCAGAAAAATCTCTTTAGTCTGACTCTCTTACGAGCGCATCAGAGTACATACCAGAAATAAGCGCCGAGCCTGTTCTGTACACTACTGGCGTACTCTCCGCTCTTGCTGTGTATGCGGTACTAACAACACCAAGAATGTTGTGCTTGTGCTTAAACAACGGATTCAAAATGAGTGCGTGTTTGAAACAACACGACAATAAATATTTAGTGTACAAACGCAGCAAAAAAATTAGTTTTTAAAGTTTTATTTAAAGCAATAATTTATTTTAATTTTTTGAAAGCGATACAAATACATAATATGTACATATGTAAATTTGCAAGCACACTGGCAGCCGGCAACAAATCGCCGTTATATGTCCCGGCAATACCCTTTTACTGCACATCCCTCTTTTATTCGGGTGGTACGGCTGGGAGGTATGTAAAACTGCTAGTACGGCTATTAGTCATGTGCGTCAGCCTGTCTGTTTGTATCCACACATATGTGTTTAGGCACAAACGCATGATTAAAGCAGCCCAGAAGCAGTAAGCGGTCATTTCAGCCTCCTGGATGCTAAAGTATCAAATTTCGGCTACTGAGAATTTTACTACTTATATATCATTAAAGGGCAGTTTCGAGTCTCAAATTTATGATTTAAACGCGTGCAACATTGTTCTAAAAATTGCTGGTTGTGTATGTATGTATGTATTTCTAGTTTTTTTTCTTTCTTGATAAAGATTGGGCTTACGATCACTTGTGAGAACGAATTAGCATCGCCTTTTCCCTCTTAAAAGCTTAAAAGCACATATAACATACATACATACGTTCGCAAATAAGGAGGGGGGCTTCTACGAGGAAGGTATTATGAAGTTGCCGTCTAGATGGAAACAGATCATCGAACAAAACGGCGCATATTTTAACTAAATCCGATCACTGTAACACTTTTTATAAAGCATTGAATGAAGAGCAAAAAAGCGGAATGGAGATATTTGACCACCTTATATGTACTAGTATATTAATTTTAGAGGTTATATTAACAAAGGCGAAGAAATAAAGCGAAGTAGAATTTGAGATTTTTAATTGAGTTTTAAGAAGTCACAAAAAAAATAACGGAAAATATAACGAATAAAACACAATTCATCATTTCTTTAGGTAGTACATAAATAACATACATATATTTACATTTATTGAATCACATTTCAAACTTCACTTATGTTGGTATTTTTGAAAGAATGCAAAAACAATATGTTGCTCAATGACTCGGTTCCAAAATCGTTCCCCTTTTTGGTAATCATATTTCGTGTCCTTAAAATCATTTCCTCAGATGCGGCACAGCTAGCGGGTATCGAATGAATTTGCATTGCAAATCTTGATAAAAGTGGATAATGTTTTTCATTATCTTTCCACCATTGCAACAAATCAAAATCTTCCGTCATTAACACTACTTCTTTACTATATTTTTCTACTTCATCGATAGTGGCATTATTCGCACCAGTACTTGATGTGGTTAGCCAGTTTGAAAAGAAAAATGTATTATCTTGTTTGGCAGTTTTAGAATTTTGTTCCATTAATGAAGATTCTGAGCTGGAGGCTTCTGAGGGTGCAGCTGGACTGGCTGGATTTGACCAATCAGGCAGGGTCTCAATCTCTGCTTTGAGTTGAGCGGCTGAAATAGTTTTAGACGATTTTAATTGAGACTTGCAAAACTCCTTTGCATCACTAAAGTCACTTTCTTGCTTAGTTAGTGCCGGAGGAAATAAAAATAAGGCTGTTTTGTGCCAAATGGATAAATTGTTAATCCACATTTGGTCCACATTGTAATTAATGTAATTTTTTAATGCCAGTATTTCTAGTACGTCAGATCGATTTGGTACGCACATACTTTTTATCTTGTAAATTGAAGGTAAAACGAAACACAAAGATGGAGTGCTGAAGACTTCCATCTTCTTGTAAATAACTTCGAAGTCTCTAGATAGCTCTATGAAGCTAGTCAGCGCTGCTATACTTATTGACGTAAGCAATTCCATGTCTTCGATCTCTCGCAGAACTTCGTTAATATTACACCAGTTATCAACAATTGACTTAATCATATGGGAATTTGAGTTCCAACTTGATGGACTTGAGCTAATTGAGAGTGTGGGCAACTGCAAATTGGCGTTAGTAAAGTATTTGACCAATGTCTGACATGCCTGTAGGGTTCCCTGGAGCTCAGATGTGTCTTCAATTGATTTGTCCAAGACTCTTTTCAATAAATGGCTGCTGCTGTTTAAACGTGTTAGATTTTCCAATGATTTTACAATACCGTTCTTCTCTTTGTCAGTTACAAATTTTACACGACTGATGTCTTTTGCACCGAACTCTGCGAATATTTTCTTAACATTAACCAAAATATTTTCACTGCTGGTACTTTTTATATCCATTGATTGCAGACCTAAATTGATGTCAATTTGTTCGAAATTTTTCTGGAAATGCATTGTGACGGCCAAGAACTTTCGCTCAACATAATTATCAGTCCAAATGCTAATAGTTGATGACACTCCACCGTCTTCGATTGCGTTCTTAATCTCACTACTTATTAAATTTCTCTTTTCATCAGCCAACTTTTGAACTTTATTGTTAACAACCATAGCATCAACCAATAAATCACTAACTTCAATATTTTCACCATGAATCGCACCAAGCTTGATAAAAAACTTTGCTAGCTTTGCAAAACCGGAACCCTCGACTGAAGAGAACGAGTGGCAGTCTTCCGTTATCCATTTCGCGTAGGCATCAATTGCTTCTTGTTTATCAGCTTCTGGTAGACTTTCATGGCTTTGGTTCCTTATAATCTTACAACATGGATGCCGACTTAAATTTGAAGTTGTGTTCCCACTACACTTTAAAACCTTGCGACAAGTCGTGCAATATATTATCCCAATCAGCTTAATGTCATCTTCATTATAAACTTCCCGTAAAATGCTCCAAACGAAGCTTTTACCTTTTCGCTGTATCACGGTATATTTTCTATTAGCTATTTGTTTAGCGATAAAGCTACGATCTTCCGACATATTGATACTAAATAATACACTCACCCCGAACGCTACAAAAGTACTGAATATGAAGAAAAAACGCGTACAGTCAGTCTGGATGCTATCGATTATTGTGCTTGCATAGACACTCATGCATATGTACACATGTATTTCTGTGTTGAGTGGAGTCTACACAAGCAAACGATAGAGCGTACACAACGAGTACTGAAAAAGAGTCGCATTGACGTACTTGAGTGTAGCTACAGCTAAACTGGTGTTGATGCGACCGACAATGAAAGAGACTCGTTCGCATAGCCATTGTACTCATTGAATCTGATTATGGTATATGAATATAAATATCTTTGTACTAATGTTGCAACTACCCATTTTACTTACCAACCGTCCATAACAGACGACTTCAAGAGCAAGATACATACACAATTGTTGACGCTGCTGAGAGCGGCGAAATGTTGCCAGCTGCCAGTGTGTTTGCACGCTTCTCAACAAATATATAGTTTTCGTCAATAAATTTCATAATTTATGAGTTCGAATATAAATGCAAATGAAATATACATGATCTATATGGTAATAAATAATTAATTACGAATTTAGTTTTCATTTCTTTTGAAAAGAAAACTACGCATTATCTACGATTATTTAATATTACTTCAAGAAAGACTAAACTGGCAACCTTGTATAGCAACGAGAAATGAGCCCAGCCGGTTTTACGGAAAAAATCAAATCGCCGTTAGTTTCTGCGGGACAACCGTCACTAAACCTTGCGTTTACATGGCGCTCTCATAAGATAGGTTACTATGGACGGCTGGTACGTGAGTTGGGTAGTTGCAGCCTAAATATCTTACCATTCCCTGCAAACACCGCGACTATATGTATGTATACTCCACGCTGACAAAGAAGTAATCCACAATTAACCACAATCCATACAAAAAATATAGTCCCTTTACATTGCGATGCCCTATGGCTGGGCCATATTATCCTTCTCTGCATGACCCTCGAGTAAACCATGGATTATATACATGAAACTAGTTTTGTTACTAACCCAAAAAATAGTCCACGGAACGGATTATATTATAGAGTATATCGAAAAATGGCATTCAGACATAGTTTATAGTTTCGATTACACTTTGATGCTTCGATCAAACCACGCATACAATATATATATATATATACACATATATTCAAATTTAATGTATATCATATAAACTTAAATCAATATTTTATTGATAATGAAAAAATTCAGAACATATTAAAATTTGCGCATACATTTACATATGTATGTATGTATGTACTTATATTTTCGCAACATATGCGCGCCCTCTACGCACCAGCAGCGCCCGCCAACGAAACGAAACTGACTCAATTTCTTTTTCGCACATTTTCTGTATACGAGTAAAAATGTTATTGCGTGCTTGCATCTTCGTTCACTAATTGTGATCGTTAAAACACGAGCAATCATCGGCTAACAACGGTGTGGTAGCGAGACGCAAGTTGATCCAATAGTTGGTAACAAGGATTAGTTTTTAGATTAACACAAGGGACCATATGCTCCACAAATTTTTGCCGGGTTCTAAGCAACAAATCCCTTGCATCGAAATATTACAATCAGCAATGCCTGGAATACGGTACTTGATGTAGAAATGATCACGAGCTCAGCGTTTTCCATTGTCGATCATTCCTAACGTTATTCCGCCTGGGCAATTGAAATGTTCAAAAGCTTTTCTGTTACAGATCGTTAATGGGAGCCTTCTGCCAAAAACCGCAGTGTGGCGGCAAGTTAGCCTTCAATAACATCCAGCACAATTACAAAGACTTCTTAGTTAAGACGATATTTGTGTGTGAATCTACCCACAAACAAATTTTTATATCAGCAAAATTATAATGCAAATTGCACTTACATCGACTCTGGCAGCTCCAGCGGATTGCTCTTATCCCTTACAACTATGCGCTTTATTTTCTGTATGGTTTCTCCAAATCCTTTTATCATCAAAAATTCTAACACTTCCGAATTTATTTTATTTTTTAGTTAATTTAGTTAATCAGCACGAATGTGTGCTACAAAAATTAAATTGAATTGCTGGGTGTTATTTGCACAGTGTGATGACAGCTGATTCGAATATCGGTTTCTCTTATCTTCGAAAAAAAAAGTAAAATCAAGTCGGTTTCCACACAGATATTGATTTTCAACTCGGATAAACAAGCAATTCTGTGTCGATTTCTATAACACCCGAGAATATTCTGATTCATTTCGCGAACGTTAGATGAGTACTGTATCTATCAGGCGAAGCGAGCGAATTCGTTGACTATGGGTGCATTCAGACGTGAGTGTTTATCACGATTTATAGAGTTTAACGAGTTTTTTGTTCTCTCTGTTACTGCGTCTCAAATTCAAATGTACACACATGTACATATGAACAAAACTTACATTGAAAATATTTAAAAAAAAAAAATTTAAGCCGTCACGGAACGCCTGTCAGATATGAAACATCGACATTATTTTGTAAAAGTAATATGCAGAAAAGAAAAGATTGTGATAGGAACTAAATATGTAATAATGATAAAATAAAATATTACGATTTTTTTTCCAGATAACGATTAATATTTATTTTCTGTATAACTTATATAATTCTGTATCCACATCTGCAGCTTGTAGACGCCTCCTTCATACCGCTTCACGTTGTTTCAATTTACCTCTGTTCTGCTCCCTATATCTTCGCTGACGTGCTCTTTTTTTTGGAGAGCGTTTAGTTCATTACCTTGATCATTTATTTAAATGGATGATGGTTGTATTTTTTCCGAACCAGATGAACTTAGAGCAGTATCTGTTTCTTCATTATCCAGTTCTATGCTATTCGTGTTTAAAGAGATAGATGGTCCGGCAAAACTTTGTGAAAAATGTATGCGTTCTCATCTTTCCGCTTCACGCTGCTTCAATTTGTCTCTATTCTGCTCCCTGTATCGTTTTTGCGTTCTTTTTTATTATTATTTACTCTTAATTAAATAGTATAAGTGTTGAAAGAAGCTGAAGTACAAATTAGTATTTTCTGGTACTATTAGCTCAATAAAATCTTACATAACATTAATATTATGTCTTGTGTTTATCTTATCTTGGTGATGTCTACTTTAAATAATAATATTTTATGATAGTTTTTGTGTTGTGAAATATTTATAAAAAATATATGTTAGCAAACTCAAGAGTCTTAACTGGGTATTTCACTATATAACTAAAGATCGTAAGTTATAAACATCAATAATTAACGTTTCACTATAAACTTCATTTGCTGATGACTTGATAGTGTGTCATAGTGTAATTTTGCTATCCTTGCATCAGAAAAGTAATATACTTTCATGTAAAATACAGGTTATGTGTATTGTAGTACACAACACTGTATACACTAAGGAGTATACACTGTAGGTATGCGAGCTCAATGTAGCGAGAGAGAGATGGCTCAACGCCGGATCGAGTGGGAGAGAATCGCACAGTCGATTGCGCATGGCGACACGTCGTCACACCGTACACGCTCCTGCTTATAAACTGTGTATAAATACCAACACGCCACGCCAGAAATCGGCTTTACGTGCGGCTATTTTTCTTTCACATCAAATCTTCTTTATATTGGCGGCTAGAATAGTCCTGAAGCGTACAGTATCAAAATGATAGAAAATTAACTTAACTAAAATATTAATTCATTATTCTAATTGCGGTCGACCCCTGCTGTAAATTGCTGCAGCGGTTATAAGCGTCAAAATATTACGTCAAAAACTCTTTGGCTTCAATTTTATGTTGAGTGAAACTTCAATTCTTTTTCTAGTCCTTATGGTGAGAACAGACGGTTGGTTAACGCAAACATAAAAAATGAGTCAAAATGAGTGGCACATAGCTGGATCTCTTCTGTTCTAAAACCGTGATGAAAATGAAATTGACAAAATTTGACCTGTCATTTATGGCAAACATTACACTAAAAACAAATTGTACAAATTGAAAGCAGTCTCTTTGGCGCCCAAATTCATCCCTGAAGGTAAACATGCTGTTCGTGAGTTTTTTTTTCTTTTAATTATTTCAGGTACCGAGTCGATCGCGATAGTCGAATGGCTATCATTGCGTACTGTCAGAAGGCCAGAGACGAAAGTCTCTACCAATGGACCATATTCCAACAGCAAAATGTAAGGTGTTGGAATCGAAAAGATAAAGAGGAAACTGTGTCTTTGACGCATGTATTTATCGACGAAAATTAACACGGCGTTGTCATAGCAAACTTAAGACTTCTGAATTTCCTTTTCAAATACCACTTTGAATATAGAAACAGTTCAAGTGAGTTTTCTTTGGTTACTACAACCTTTTTTCCAGGTTTACAAATTAAACAGTCTTTCAAATACCCAATATTTCATCGCATGGTAGAGAACGCTACTTTCGCAATCTCGTTTTTTATGTTTACATTTTTTTGCAAGAGAACTTTGCATATTGCAGTCTTCACTTTATCTCTTCGCTTGTAGGACTCTACCTTTTGCTGATGTGATATCAAAAGTTGAAGATTTAAATTAAATTTTCAGTCAGCACGAAGACGCAGAAGAACAAAGAAAAGAAAGAATAAAACACCATGCAGAATTTCTTTACGTAGTACTTAAATAACGTACATATGTTTGTATATTTACATTTCTTCAGTCACATTGCCGACTTCACTTATGTTGGTATTTTTAAAAGAATGCAAAAATAATATGTTACTCAATGATTCGGTTCCAAAATCTTTCCCCTTTTTGGTAATCATATTTCGTGTCTTCAAAATCATTTCCTCAGATGCAGCACTGCTGGCGGGTATTGAATGAACTTGCATTGCAAATCTTGATAAAAGTGGATAATCTTTTTCATTATCTTTCCACCATTGCATCAAATCAAAATCTTCCGTCATTAACACTACTTCTTTGCTATATTTTTCTACTTCATCGATAGTGGCATTATTCGTGTCAGTATTTGGTGTGGTTATCCAGTTCGAAAAGAAAAATGTATTATCTTGTTTGGCAATTTTCGAATTATGTTCCATAAATGATGGCTCTGAGCATGAGGCTTCTGAGGGTACAGCTGGGCTGGCTGGATTGGACCAACCAAGCGGATCTTCAATCTCTCCTTTGGTTTGAATAGCAGAAACTTTAAGATCAGTTTTAGAAGATTTTAATTGTGTCTTGCAGAACTCTTTGGCATCACTAAAGTCACTTTGTTGTTTAGTTAAAGCCGGAGGAAACAAAAATAAAGCTGCTTTGTGCCAAATAGATAAATTTTTTGTCCACATTTGGTCAAGATTATAATTAATGTTATCTTTTAGCGCCAGTATTTCTGGTACGTCAGATCGATTTGGCGTGCACATACTTTTTATCTTGTAAATTGAAGGCAAAACAAAGCACAAAGATGGAGAGTTGAAAACTTCCAGCTTTTTATGAATTATATCGAGATCTCGAGATAGCTCCATAAACTTAGTGAGCGCAGCCATGCTTATTGACCTAATCAATTCCATTTCTTCTATCTCTCGCAGAACTTCGTTAATATTTAACCAGTTATCAACAATTGATTTTATCATATTGCAATTTGAGTTCCAACTTGATGAATTTGAGCTATTTAATGGCGTTGACAAGCTATATTGCAAATTGGCGTTAGTAAAGTATTTGACCAATGTCTGGCATGCCTGTAGAGTTTCTTTCAGGTCAGATGTGTCTTCAATTGATTTATCCAAAATTCTTTTTAACAAATGACTGCTACTGTTTAAGCGTGTTAGATTTTCCAATGATTTTACAATACCGTTCTCCTCTTTGTCAGTTACAAATTTCACACGACTGATGTCTTCCACACCGAACTGTTCGAATGTGGTTTTTACATTTCTCAAAATTGTTTCACTGCTGGTATTTTTTATATCCATTGATTGCAGACCTAAATTGATGTCAATTTCTTCAAAATTTTTCTGGAAATGTATCGTGACGGCCAAGAACTTCCGTTCAGCATAATTATCAGTCCAAATACTAATAGTTGATGACACTCCACCATCTTCAATTGCTTTTCTAATCTCACAACTTATTGAATTTCTCTTTTCATTCGCCAACCTTTGAGCATTATTATGAATTGCTCTAGCATCGACCAATAAATCATTAACTTCAATATTTTTACCACGGAGCGCACCAATTTCGGTGAAAAATTTTGCTAGCTTTACGAAACCGGTACCCTCAACCGAAGAAAATGGGTGAAAATCTTCAATTATCCATTTTGTGTAGGTATCAATTGCTTTTTGCTTATCGGGTTCTGGTAGACTTTCACAGTTTTGATACCTTATTTGCTTGCAACATGTGTGTCGACTTAAATTTGAAGTTTGACTTCCAATAAGTTTTAAAGTTTTGCAACAACTACTGCAATATACTATTCCAGTCAACTTAATACCATCTTCGTTATAAACTTCGCGTAAAATACTCCAAATAAAACTTTTCCCTTTTTTTGGCAAGACGGTGTATTTTCCATTAGCTATTTGTGTAGCGATAAAACTGCGGTCGTCCGACATATTAAAACCAAATAATACACTCTCCCCGAACGCTACAAGAGTACTGAATGTCACGAAACAAACGCGTACAGTCAGCCTGAAAGCCATCGATTATTGTACTTGCATAAACACTCACACATATTTATTTGTATATATTAAGTGACACTACAGAAGAAAACAATAGAGTAAGAGAACGGCCTGCTGGTGTACACACAACGAGTACTGAGAAAGAGACTATATTGCGTCGTATCTGAGTGTGCCTACAGCTGAACCGGTGTCGGTGTGACCGGCAACGCTAGCGATACGTTCACATACCCGTTGCAATCACGAGACTCTGATCGGCTTTTTGTGCACTATCGTACTTCGTAAAACAGATACTCTTGTAATTTATTGGAGTGTAGTATATACATACAGTCTTGTTACATACGACATATGTGTGTATATATGTATGTATATGCATATTTGCTTATGCGCGAATATATACAGATGTACAAACAAGTTGAGCGAATGTCTAACAGCCCTAAATGTATGTTTTTATACCTAACAAACATAAAATTCGAAGACTTGTACATAATGAATTTTTGTATTATGTATTTTGGACCGTTACCAATTTTATCCAAGCTATGTGCATATATGTATATATCATATATATAAGAAAATTCAAACAAGAACTTCATACATACTCATATACATACTAAAATATGTAATCTTTGTTAATGTTGAGTTGGTTAACGCATAGCGACTTCGTAAATGCGAGAGCCGGAAAATTTGTTTTTACGTTAGCATAGCGGCACTTACTATTCCTTTTTTTAGCGTAAAACCCCAAGGAAAAAATTAGAATTCTGCAGATTTTCACACTCACAAGCAAACAAAGCGTAAACTGATGAATAGATGTGTCAA